TTTGGAAAGGATGCGTGAACAGATAGACTAACTGATAACTTGAAACGACATCTCGAAACTTCACTCTCTCTGATTTTGAGTCCAGAGTGGTTGAGTCTTATCACCACGGCTTTGTTTGGAACTGGTAGGGGCGCCGCTGTTTGATGTGTCCTGATGGTCGTAATCGGGGAGTATTTTTTAATCATCGAACTCAACGGTGCACATTGAGCATCCTGGGTTTCCAACTCGTTCGGTCGCTTCCTTCTAGACAGGATGCCGAAGGTCCAGGCAGAAAGCCGTGAGATTGATGCATGTTGATAGACAAGGTTTTGTGGGACTGTTACATCTTTGCTTGAAGTTGTGATCACAAGTTGTGTGATCTTTGATCTAATCTGCATGGCAGTAATACTGCAATGATGGATAGACCAATTTGGGGTAAGAATCAGATATGCAAATGAGGGTGAACCCTGTGGAATGACTGACCTATCACAACCTTCTACAAAGAAGTCTTCTTCATCTTTGAGATCTAGACTCGATATCGCCTTCACAATTTCTCGTACATTTTCCAAGACTCTCTCCCAAACCACTTCCCCGTTTGAGTCGATGATCACATTTCCCGACTCAGTAGAAAGTTGGTCTCGTACGTAGATTGCTTCAATCTCATCAGAAAACATCTCCAGCGTTTTGACTCGTGCAACTTGACCTTTATTGGTTTTCGGAAGAGGTTTCACTCTTGGGTCTATGACAAGTATCAATTCCCGTGTTAATCGACTGTGGGTAGGGGCAAATCTATTTACTTCCTCGATCGAAGGCCTTGAAATAAGAGACACACAAAGCCTAATTTAGTATTGCTGATAGTAGTTATGCAATCCATCAAAAATAAAAACAAAACCTAAAGGATAGACATACCAAATCAAGTTGATGTAATTCCCCACTGCTTCACGATCTGTGACATCAACGGTGTAACTGTCCCCAGGTTCGATGAGCACTCCGTTTTGAGGCTTCCCTCGGCCGAACATGAGAGCACCTTTGATAGCAGGGTTGAAGGCAAGGATTGCCTCCAAAGGTCCCCTGTGGAAAGATTCAAGTTTCAGGCACAAAGTCACCCCCCCCCCCCC